TGGGCTGGTTTCTGCTAAAAATTACCACCATAAGCAAGTACACTTAAAGAGAGGAAGGGAGAGGGATAGAGAGATAGAAACACCAATGAGAGACAGAGGAACATCATTGATCAGCTGCCTCCTGCACGCCCCCTACTGGGGATTGGACCAGCAACCTGGGCATGTGCCCTGATCAGGACCTCTTGATTCCTGGGCTGACACCCAACTGCTGAGCCACACCAGTCGGGTGCAAGAACACTTTTCTAAGGAACAGAAACAACTGTGTTTATTAACAGTTCAAATGCTGACTCCCATCTGTCAGCCTGGTTGGCTGGTGGACTAGTTGATTCTGTTCTAAGATGACTGGCGGAGACCTGGGCCTCCCAGATGCCAGTCCTCTGTTTTGCTGGGACCAAAGGTTCTCTAGAGATGGATCCTTCACCCTCCTCCTGGGGTGACCCCGACTGCAGGAGGGAGAGGACGGCCTGGGTCCTGACCGTGTTTCCAGTCTCCTGGCTCTCACCACCTTCCTCTGAGCTGGGTGACCCTCTTCACCTCCTGCCAAGACCGGAGTTGCCTGGGTCCCTCACGTTCAAGGTGGCCCCATCTGCATGTGTCCTGCACAGGGAGGTGGCTTCACTCAAGCAGCAGAACAGAGGGTCGCACTTCTCCCCAAGCCCCCCTTCTTCATCCCCCCATCTGATTCCCAGTGGCCCCTCACCGATGCCGTCTCCTCCTTCCTTGCTGTGAGCTGGTTCCGTGCATTTATCTGCTGCTGTGCTGTCACGGAGGCTGGGTCTGGGAGGATGGGCAGGTCGGCCAGGTCATTCCTCCACCCTGCATCACTGGATGGCCACTCGATTCCCGTTCCCACAGCTTTATGGTACCAGCTGCCTAGTTTGCCTCACTCTGCCCTGTGGCTTCCTGGGACGCCCCCACCTGTATGTTCCTTCTGGCAAACTTGGGGGCCACATTGAATGTTCCTAGATTTTCCTGCAGTTCACATTCTATTGGGAGTTTGGAAGAGTTGATATTGGATGACACCGTCTCTTGTGAACAACATTGAATGACATTTTATATCATGTGAGTGTCCTCCTCAAGGAAGTTTTGTGGTTGTCACGGACTCTAGATTAGGAATGTATGGACCTGGCCGTGAATGGCGTCTCTACCATATGGCATCGCATTAGCTATGCCTGCGGTTAAAGATCAGTTTCTCCTTCTTTCTCTCCTGATTTGTGTGTAAAACATTTGTCTTCCATCTAGAAACTTTGGGAAACGTTCAAATCTTTTCATTGAGGCTTTTGGCTCTTCTGGGAGGAAGATCATATTATGTGCCAATGATGGTCATGACATTTCCCCCCCAGACCCTCAAACGTCTTGTTTCTGTTTCGGGCAGATCTGCTCCTAATGCCCAAATGCCATCTTTGTCCCAGGTCTGGCCCAGCTGGTTATCGCCCAGCCTGGTGCCAGGGGACGGGAAGCCTGGGTCCAGCATCAGGCTGGGCGCTGGGGACTGTGGCCTCTCACTGACACTCTTGTGACTTGCCTTCCTGTCATCTGGGCTTGGGTTCCAGCTCCAAATCCACAACCACTGTTGAGGTGGGTAAAGGTGGGTGTTCTCTCCAGACCAGTTGCAGGGATGGAGGAAGCCCCCCCTTATCACCCAGAGGTCTTGCCCCTGGGCCTGTGGGACTTGCTGGGTCTGTGAGCCCAGCCCTTTCCCTCCTGGGTGCTCGCTCCCTCCACCACGGGGCTCCCGGCCATGTTGGATCCTGGTTGTTTCCTGTTGAGATCCCCAATGTCCCCTGAGAATTCTGATTCTGGGTGCCCCCGGAGACACCAACATCTCAGCAAGGATGACAGGGACCCTGGCCCCAGGAGGGAATGATGGGTTTCTAGAGACCTGAGCTCACCTAAATGCTGCAAAGCATCCCTTGATGGTCTCCTCACTGGGCTCACGGGGGACAGAGGACCGGGCAGTGGTTCAGGAGTGTGGGTATCCCTCTTCCTTCTCCTCTCAAACCACTGTCTGGTCCTGTCCCATGCTTGGTGGAGAATGATTCTCAGATGTCAAAGGCGGAAAAGTCTGTCCCCGGCAGGTGGTCGGCCTCTGTTTGGGGTTAGACTTCGGGGACAGAGCTCCTCCATTCAGAAAGCAGGGAGAGTGAGAGGGGGGTTGGCTCCCAGCGCTGTGGGGGTGCAGGCGTGTGCAGGAGGTGAGGAGAGGTGAGGAGATCTAGCATGAAATTGGCACCTCTCACACCCTTTGCTGTGTATTTTGATAAAGCGTGATCATGCATAGGATGTACGAGGACAGCTGAGCAGATGCCTGAATGTCCGGGAGCGGCCGTAACAAATGCCACAGACCCAGACCTTTAAACAAAACTTGATTCTGTCAGAGTTGGATGCCGGAAGTGTCACATCCAGGTGTCAGCAGGTCCCACTCCCTCCAAAGTCTCCAGGGAAGCTGCCTCCTCCATCTCATTTTTGCAGGCAAACTTTGTCTGAAGGTCCAAGGAGTCTGTCCTTTTTGGGAGACACTGTGAGCCTCAAAAGAAGGAGGGGGCAGGGCCCACTGGGCCTGCTGCTCTACTTCCCCCCGGCCTCCAACCTTCTCTTGGCTCAGGTGCCAGCCCCCATCCCATCCGTGCCCTGCTCAGTGTTGTTTCAGAGCATCTGATTTACTTATCATTTATTTAGTTCCTCACTGAGGACATGCTTATGGATTTTAGGGAGAGGAAGGGAGAGAGAGATGTGAGAAACATCAGTCGGTTGCCTCTTGTACGCGTCCCGATCCGGGAATGAACCCTCATCCTAGGTATGAGGTCTGACTGGGAATCGAACCTGAGACCCTTCAGTGCACAGGATGATGCAAAGCATCTCATTTCTTTCTTTTCATGTGCAAACTGTCATCTTACCCTGAAATGTGTCCAGACCATTATTTTTATTATTTTTCTTTTTGTTAATCCTCACCCAAGGATATATTTCCATTGATTTTTAGGGAGAGTGGAAGAGGGAAAGACAGACAGAAACATTGATGTGAGAGAAATACATTGATTGGTTGCCTCCTGCACACACCCTGCTCAGAGAGGAAACACCGTATTTCTTTTCTGATAGCTGGTCTCCTGGTCACCACTGGTCCCACTGAAGAGATAAGCCCTACCTCCTCCCATGCCTCACCCCAAAGGAGGGCGGCTTCTCCTTGGGCCAGTCTGGGCAGGAGGATAAAGGGGCTCAGAGGGCTCAGGACAGAGGCAGACAGACCTGGCATGGTGAGGACGCTGCTCAAAGCCCCATCCTCTCCCTTCCCAGGCTATGTCCCCACCCCACATCTCCTCACTGGCTCTCTACCCTCCCCTCTTCCCCTGCAGATGCTGTGGCTGCTGGTCCTGACTCTCCCCTGTCTGGGGGGCTCCGTACCTGTGACCTCAGGTGGGTCCTGACCCCAAGCCTGGCTTTTCTCCTAACCCCTGATTGACCTCTCAGAGGCCGCCCCTGGGATGGGTGGCGAACCCCCTCTGAGGGTGGCTCTGGGATGGACTGAGGATGGAGCCATGCTGAGTGCTGGGCAGCGGTACCTGGGTCCCTGATGGCTCCTCCTCTGCTTCCCCAGATCCCGGCCCAGGGACTGAGCTGGTGGGCATCGTAGGGGGTCATGATGCTGCCGATGGGAACTGGCCTTGGCAGGTGGGTCTGTGGGTCTTCAATCCAAGAAATTCCAAGTGGAGTCTTGATTGTGGGGGCTCCCTCATCCACCCCCAGTGGGTGCTGACCGCTGCCCACTGCATTCCAGGGTAAGTCTGACTCTGCCAGCACCCAGTGGGGGGGAGGGGGTGGACAATGTCGGGAGGCACGTGTGTGTGTTGGGGGCAGATGCTGGGCTGAGTGGCTGCAGACCCCCCACCAGGATTCAGCTTCCTGGCGCTACCCTTGCCCACCACACAGGGGAGGTCTCTGGGCTCTGAGGGGCTGGCCCACTCCCTGCCACAGCCTCTCAGAAGCCTTTGAAATCTGTCCCCAGGAGAAACCCAGTGACTCGGCACATTAAGGTCCAACTAGGACAAGTGAGACGCTCATATAAGGACAGTGTGCAGGTGGCCAGGATCATCTGCCACCCCAACTACAGGCTTGAAAATGAAGGAGCAGGTGGGGCAGACGTGGCACTTCTCAAACTGGAGGCCCCTGTGAGACCATCTAAGCGCATCAACTGGATCCGCCTCCCGCCAGCCTCCTCTGCATTCCCCCGAGGCACACGGTGCTGGGTGACTGGCTGGGGCGACATTGCTTTTCACGGTAAAAACCAGAACCAGGATGACACCCGGGCAATGCAGGCGGCGGGCCGGACTTTACAGAGGAGGCTCAGCTGGGGTCTGAGTTGGGGTCCCTCCGGGGTCTCCCATGGGTGTAGGAGGCAGACAGCTCGAGAGGAGTCTGTCAGGAGCAGAGACCAAAGTAGCAAGAGTGAGGCATGGCCATGGGCTTTTTTTTTTTTAAATATTACCCAAGGATATTTTTTCCATTGATCTTTAGAGAGTGGAAGGGAGGGGAGAGAGGAACATGGATGTGAGAGACATATCTGTTAGCTGCCTTCCCGCCTGGGGCTGGGGATGGAACCTCCAACTCAGGTACTTGCCCTTGACCAAGAATAAAACCTGGGATCCTTCGGGCCAGTGCTCTCACTGCTGAGAAGCACTGGCCAGGGTGCCATGAACCCTTCTTTCCCTCACTCTGCAGAAGGCCATGTGCTCCCCTTCGGGGGTCCCTGTTGTCCATGAGACTTGATAGTGGGATGGAGAAGGAGGAGAGAGAACCTCAGTGACGAGCTCAAGGATTCACTATTAAATGGACAAAGTCAAATTTGACAGCAGGGCCGCTCACTCTGCATTTCTTGGGGAAAGCACTTACTCTGATTTTTCCCAATAAAAATTGAGAGTGTGCTGGGGACAGAGCTCACCCCTGACCCCACACCGCTGCCTGCAGCTTCGTGCTGACTGAAGGCCACAAACACTACTTCGAGAAGCTGGTCATCTACTGAGACCAGCACGCCCATCTCATCCCCATCTCTTTTGTGCTCATTTGTGGATAAAAAAAATATATATTTCTCTGTTTCTTTTTGGAGCTTGGTGCCCACAGTGTCAGCCTAAAGATTATCAGCTCATTGGCCTCGAGTGAACCCAGACAGTTGGGGTCTTGGGTGACTCCCTGGGTCCCCCTGGGGGCACTGAGGCTCAGCGTGTGGTTCTAGAACCCGCGGCCTGTGACTGTATGCCCCCTCAGGACCACAGGCTCACTGAGCTTCTTCTCATAGACCTGCGGCCGCCGCCCTACCATCTGCAGGAGGTAGAGGTCCCCATTGTGGCGAATGAGATCTGTCGGCAGCAATACCTCAGGATCGGCAAGGTTATCCAGGATGACATGCTGTGTGCCGGGAGTGAAGGCCGGGACTCCTGTGAGGTGAGACCCCCAGACTGAGGGGGGTCCGTTGCCTGCAGGGGCCCTGAGTACTGACCACTTGTCCCCTCTTTCCACAGGGTGACTCTGGGGGCCCCTTGGTCTGTAAATGGAGGGGCACCTGGGTCCAGGTAGGCGTGGTGAGCTGGGGGAAAGGCTGCGGTCTTCCCAACTTTCCTGGAGTCTATGCCCGAGTGACATCCTTCTTGCCTTGGATCCACGGTCATATTCTTTCCTCTCCTTGAGCCCGGGGCCAGGCAAGGATACTGCCCATGAGATGAAGACAGGCCCTCCAGGGTGTCTGGGGGTCCCTCCCTGCTCCCTCCCAGTGCCAGCTCTTCATTGCCCCTAGTGCCTCCTACACCCCCTGCCCCCACCTGCTCTGAGACCCTCCGGCCTCAGCACCTCCATCAGCCTCTCTCCCCTGACTGGCC